GCATGAATTTGAATACATGGAAAACACCGCTTCTCTCCTGATATACAATACACGTCTCAATACATATATTGACTAATAAAATGAGCACCCATTGAGTTATGGTTAACATAGAATCACCAAGCAGGTTTACTAACTTGTTAAAATCAGTTAGATTGAAGAATATCAAAACTAAATCGGGAAATAGGAATAGTGACATGGCAATTTGATTATTTTGTTAACATGGTTAGATAGAGTACAGGTTTCTGATCTGTATTCAAAAGCCAAAATGTGCCCAAAACAGGGCCACAAACGGCAAAGTTATGACTACTTTTGCAAACGTTTACATACGGTGTATAGCATAGAAAAGTGAGTTTTCTCAGGCGCATCACTAATCATCAAAATCTTATGCTTTACAACGTATGTAAATGTTTACAAAAATGGTCATAACTTTGTCGTTTCTGGCCATGGGCATATTTTGGCTTTTGAATACAGATTAACTCACCAATTGCACAATAGACCATGCTTAATTTTACAATTATAAACCATATAAGTCTACTCCGAGTGTAATAACCGGTTATGAAATCATCTAAAGTTGTCGATAGAGTGACACAAAAATATTTCATATATTTATCAAACTTTCTGATCTCTTCACTCAAATCACTGTTATTTTCCATATAATCGTTGACTATATCTTCGGCTCTGATTTTCAATGAAAGTGCTTTTCGTTTAAATGAATTCATTTTGAAATACTATTTGTAATCAAATGTTATTCAAACACTCCTTAATTCTGTTTGACTGATAATGTGGTAAAAGTATTTTTTGATGAGTTGTTTGTTTCATTAGACTATTTTATGTCACAATAATTGTCTGTAATTTTTTTAGCTCTAATGATATTCAAATCAAAATATAAACTTTTTTGAGTCACGCTATTATATAATCAATTGATTTCCAATTAATTACATTAAAATATTGCTAAACTTAACTTATATTACGGAAGTATTCAATTAATTTTCAAGAATTTGTATTTACTTCATTCAATGACACAATTGTTATTTGAATATCAAATAATATTTTTATATCATTTTTTAATTGATTGCTTTTAAAATGCAATTTAAAATCGCATTATTTATATTAAGTACAATCGATTTATTATTAAATATATTTCATAATAAGATATCATTTAATCAATATCTATTTGAGTCATTTAGAGTAAATTGCACCATGCTACATTGGTATATACAGTACTTTTCTATTGTAGTGTTTGATAATTAAGAGCAATGGAAATTTATTATTAGTATTTTAAAGTCTTACCATAAAGTTAAAATGGCTAAACAATTATTAATTAAAATTAAATTCAGATTTACATGATATAAAAAACAAATGAATTGTCCTCATATTATTTTTTCTAGAAAATAATTATTTAATAATTTTAGACAGAGTTTTGATGTTTGGTTTAAAAGTTTATTTTAGACTTATAAAAATTTTTATAAAGACACTTTATAATTGAAAATTTTTATATTACACTTTAGATGTCTGAAAGATACAAATAATATGATACATATTACTAGATTCTAGTATAACAGTAAAGTGTATACATCTAAAGCTTTAGCTATTGGTAATTTATTTGATAATTTAGGTCAGATATTATCTGATTGTCATTTTGAATACATTTTGTGAATTATGAAATATATTCGTTATTTTTAAGCTTTACATTAGACATGATTTAAATATTATTAATTATGAAAATTTAAAGACAAATCTATACAAATAATTTGATTCAAATGACATATTTTGGTAATTAATTCAATAATAAGTGGCAAACATAAAGACCTGTAAATACTTTTAAAATTTGATGTAATGTATGATTTTTATGTCTCTCGCTGTATAATTATTTCTAATTGTTAACACTATTTGTCATATAATTTGAATTAAAAATAAACTCAATTTAGTTTTTATTATTTTTTAAATCGTTAATAATTTACGGTATTATCGGAAGTGTTGGACATTAAGTGATGAATCGATTCTGGGATCGGTTTCGGGATTTATTCCCAAAGAATCACAAAAATAACAAAACAGTAATCAATTGAATGTATGATTAAAAGAGTTATTTAATTGTATTTAAATATAGTCTGAAAACTATCCGAAAGACTCTTTGGATCGATTCGGTGATGATTTGGTGCGACTCTTATTGTCTTACCATTCAGTGGGCGATAAATACGAAATAAGTTTCATTATGACATTTCAATACATGTATCGACTCGAATGTGTGTCCAAACGATTCCAGCGATTAATGTTTGACACAATTAATGATATTTATATCAACGAAGATATGATCGTTAAATTCAAAGCCAAAGAGACTGCAAATCATTGTCTTTCGGACGAAGAGTTGTGTCAGAAATTAATTGCATTTCTGCAAAAGAAGTGCCCAAATATTCAAAGAGTTTATTATGTTTGTGAAAATCCCTTTACAGACGAAACGTTTAGGAGACCACTGTTTGAGGCCATCGATCACTCGCGGAACAGTTGGCCGTATCTCAAAAGTATTAATTTTTTTCGCTATACTTATAATGAGTCGAACCATCAGTTTCTTGAGTATATGTTTACCACATTTGGTCCAATGATCACTGAATTAAAGCCATATATTGAGAACCTATTGCCATATCTCTCGAATTGTCCCAATTTATGCCAATTATGGACTTCTGGCTTGCAATCCATGTTTACCATTGAAGAAGACAACCAATTACTGGAATTCAATCGCATGAAAACAATTTATATCATTTGGAGAGACAATGATTTTAATGCCCAAAGATTTCAAACATTCAACGATTACTATAAGACACGACTTCGTTGTATTGCTATCGAAAGTATTAACCCATTGATTGGTTTGCAATCAATGGTCACTCAAATGATCACAAAATTGAGTCAATTGTCGGAACTCCGAGAAATAAAATTAAATTTTGACACCGAAAACAGTCTTCAGTATTCACTCTATGATAGTCTGAAGACAATTGGCATAAAGTGTGCGAAACTCAAGAAGTTTTCATTAAGTGTTTATTCAGACGACACGGTATTCATTGTGAAGATAATAAATGCCATTCAATACATGCGGCGATTGAAACGCCTGTACTTATGGCTCAAACTTTCTCCAACTAATACCAATGAAGTGATCACCGATTGGACTCAATTGCAAGCATTGAATGGTTGGCCACAATTGACACACTTATCGATACATTTAACGGAATTTCCACAAGAAATGAGTGAACAGATTGTTTCCAAACAATATAAACTACAGACACTGAAAATCTCTGTATATTCACATTCCTTCAGGATTGACAGCCAATGGTTGACCAGTATCTTAAGACTATCATCATTGGAATCGCTGTATATTGGATACACTGGAAAATTTCGTTTTAAAAAATCCGATTTAAAGCAAATGATCCAAAAATGTCCGAAATTAAAGAGTCTTAAGATTGTTAGGGCTTTTGGGCACACATTGTGTACGATTTTGTATAATAGCAAAGGTCTTCGTATACATTATGAAAACTACTTACTTCCCAATTGGTTCCCATTCTGTCCTCTTCTTTAAGACTATTACTTATTTAAAATATTTTAATTTTAGCCAACATTTGGTCACATTTCTATTTGACTAATTTATTTCTCATTAAATATTCTGTGATTTCATTTAAATGATATATTTTGTGCAATAAATTCAATAAAATATTCATTTCTATTCAACCGTTGTTTTGTAAGAAATATAGATTTCATTTGAAGCGAAATAATCAAATTATTCTCGTATTTAACACTTTATTTGCAAAAACTTTTTTCAATAGAAATTTTTTGGTACAAAAGAAGTGAAAATAAAAACAATTTTTTGTTGTTATAATTTACACAATAGTTATACAGAGAATGCAATGATAAGTACTTAACAAATAATGTTATAAACAAAGTGTGATTAAATATAATTAAATGATTGATTATAAGTATTCAGACAATCGGTTGGAATGAAAATAAAATAATTAAATTTCAAATTAAAAATACAAATCATAAGTATATCTCACAATTGAAACTCAAAACTCATTAAATAAATGCGAAAAAAATACAAAATTAATTATAATTACTATCAAACAAAACACAGAGAAACCTAAAACATGTATTTTTGATCTACATTTACAAGTGTTTTGTACTTCGCATTAGTCTTTGAGGTGACAATAACTCTCTATTGGATCCGATGGTCAGTCGACGGCCGCACAGACACAGGGCTAGAGATCGTCGCCCAAAATCATTCGCTGCCAATGTCTGTGATTAAGTGACGAGAAGTCCTCCAAAATGGAGATTCTCTTCAAATATTTGGCCAAATAATACAACTCTCGGTCGGAATCGCGGTTCTTATGGGCCTCACGGAAGGCCCGAATGCGGAGTCCGTTCTGCGGATTCATTAGGAAATTCTTGCGGATGTCGTCAAACATAATCGTATTCTTTGCCGAATACTCTTTGAATTTACCCCAAATCACACCCAATGGCTTCACCTGTGGTCACAAACACAGAGATATAGTGATAATTAAGAGCTCAAGACATGATGGCGAACACAATGACATACATCAACCAATCCGTATCGCTGTGTGTGGACACTAATCATCGCCGATGAGTCCAAATAGAAGAGTATCTTATAGTTGGTGTTGCGCTCGACTCCGAGTTCACGCATTTTCACTTCAATCCATTTCATTCCCGTCGCCGCTATTGTGACCACAAAAATGCAAAATACAAGATATCAATAACACTGGCGGTGATAATGACCACGAAAAAAGTGGCCACAAAAGCACATAAACATCACAATTCATAAATACTTACACCAAATAACAATATCGTAGTCCTCGTAAGCGGTGGTCAAGAACTCGTGCAAATACGGGCGCATCAGTTGTGCCGCGCATTCAGCTATTGATCTGTGGTCTACAGAAGAGGTGGAAGTATTCAATCATTGAGTTGATCCGCAAACACAGGCAATACATACCGAAGAGTGTGTAATCAATGTCGAGCACCAGTAACTTCTTGCCGGGCCGGGGCTCAGACAACATCTTCACCTTATAGTCTTTGACCCGTTTGTCAACTTTCGCCAAAAACTCTTCGCGATTCTGAATCGGAATGTTAGACATCTCCACCTCATCGGCGATATCGAAGTCGTTCACCACTTGCGGTATGTCTGCCGGCGACAGATCCACGCCAGCGATGTCCGCCTCTTTGCTCCCAATCATCATTATCTTCATATTGGCTCTGATGTCCACTTTCGACAACTCTGTCGCGTCGGTCACCGGCTTTCCTGTGAGAGACAAAGACGTGTCAACACTATTGGATCAAATGCCTGACTAAACAACACATACCGTTGGCCTTCAGACCCATGAGTTTCTGACACTTTCGACAACTCTGTCGCGTCGGTCACCGGCTTTCCTGTGAGAGACAAAGACGAGTCAACACTATTGGATCAAATGCCTGACTAAACAACACATACCGTTGGCCTTCAGACCCATGAGTTTCTGACGCTCGGGTTTGACGCCTGTCTTCCTATAGATGGCCTCTTTTAGGTCCCGAACGGTGTCATCGGTGGTCACGGAATCGATGGCATACTCTTGAGAACTCCACTTAATGGTCAGCGTTAGCCCATTAGTGGCCGCCGACACCCCTTCCTCTTCCTCCGCACCGGCGGTGACCGTCGTCTCAGTCGCTGACATTGTCTCGTAATCTCTCACTCTTGGGATCAGATCTTCGGTGATGTGATGAATGTCTTTGTTTTGCAAAACAATTCAATTTTCACTTTGTTTTGAATATTTCAGCTGTTTTTTCAATCAATGTTGTGTTTCACCGACTGTTCAGAAACTACGTGACGCGCGCATAGGGTTGGGTGAAGTGGAGGGTTGTGTTGTATACGCTTTGTTTAGATTAACAATCGGTGTGTCGCTTATGTGGGGAACAAAAATTTACAAGTAATTCGTAACGTTGTTTAAGTGCGTGAAAGACCTTATAATACATAAACACCGTAATAAGGGGTAGATTTTCGGTCAATTAGTTGTCTCTGCCATTCAATTGACCCGTTTTTGTGACAAACTTTCGCTACAAATGAATGGCAATTAATGTATGATTTAAATGACAATCAAATGAATGCTTACATGTATTCAATGTAATACGCGATCAAATGTAACGTTATTTGTGAACAGATCTCATCACGCATTCAGTCATTGAAAAAACATTTTGTTTACATTTTTTTTGGCCCACAATTGAGATCACGATTGAAATCTAGTTTACCATCTGTTGAGTCCAAACACCACATCATTATCATCGCAACAACGGATCCATTGAGAGAGAGAGAGAGAGAGAGAGAGAGAGAGAGAGAGAGAGACACTCAGCGGCGGCGAGTACTACCCCCTGTTATCACCTGAATCTGATCCAAGACTGAAGACAATCGCGGCGACCGAATGGCCGGTTACGAGATCTCAAAGTTTGTGTCTTTGCCGCCGAGTATTGTCGACGAAGTGACGTAAGTATTGCCACCAAAATTGTCACCCAATGAACTGATGTCACACTCACTTACTCTCAGGTGTGCGGTGTGTCTGAACGTAATGAATGAGCCGATGTGTACGCCATGTTGTGGTCACTCGTATTGCCGGCAATGCATTACACAAGCGCTGCAGATGTCCTCCAATCCCAACACGTGTCCCAACGATCGCCGCAAAGTTCACACTAAAGATCTGGTCGTCTCGCGAGCGGTGGCCAACATTCTGGACAAACAGGAGGTCTACTGCGACCACAAGACCTACGGGTGTCCGCAAACGCTGCCGTTGGGACACCTGTCGCAGCATTTGAGCCAATGCTGGTTCAATCCGGCGAAAGCGCAGACAAAATGCGACCAAATGTTTGACAATATGTACGCCTCTGTCGACAAACTCAAGGGTCGGCTCAAACGGCAAGAGATCGAGCAGTTCCGGGAACAGCTGAGCGTTTGGCACCGGGAGTTCAACATCTTTATGTCCTCCAAAGCCAACGCCGCTCAACGGGTCTTCGTTCAGCCCAACACTGATGTAATGATTTGTTGCGGAGAGAGAGAGAGAGAGAGAGAGAGATTGTAAATAACTCTTGTGTTTTACCGCCGATTTCTGTAGGAATTCAAGAGGAAAATCCTGGAGTCGGCGAAGAATAACGCGGAGAACGCAGTAGTGATTGACTCTAACATTGATGTGAAAAGTCTGAAGAAAAAAGTGCTGAAGAAATGCAAAGAAGCGGTGAAACAGTGCTGCGATTACAACCAATTGGGCCAGTATTTGGTGGATCAGCTCAATAACGGCGAGTATGAGTGGTCGGCGTTTGTGGGGCCCAAACACGCGGCCACCCATTCGGTGACCAACTTTGTGGACAAGATTGAGGTACATATGGGCGACCTATCGGTTCTGTTGGTCAGCCATCACAGCGATGACGTCGATGACGACGACTACGAGACCGACGATGACCTGAACGGCGAGTATTTTGATTATTCCGATCCGTTGGCCGATGAGGACGACGACGACGGCGATGAGTGGGGCGACTGGACTCGAAACCAGTATTGATGCGAATTATTGCCCATCGATTTGCGGCCAAATATGTGATTAAACTTTTGATTTGTTTTTTGTTATGTATTTAAACATTATTATAATTTTTTTGAGTGAATTTAAGACATTTTATATGCATTTCTTCGGCGCCTTTCCTACGAAATATGCGATGATTTTTATAGCGATAAAAGTTTTGCGAATTTAAAAGCAATTTTTAAATACACTTTAAATACGAATATTAAACTACTTTTATATAAAAAATAATTTATTGCCAAATGTGTCTATCAATAGGTTTTTTATAAATTTAATTTTTTGTAATTATAGCTAAAAAAGCAATATTTCTTAACAAATGATTTAATTATATAAAAATATAAATAATTGAGATTTAAAATCTCTGTATTTTATGCACTAATAAACAAATTGTGTAATTAATCAACCATTTTATTAATAAACATTTTAAATGCTATAAACTTTTTAAACACTTATTAAAATTACAATCAATTGTAAACTCTGTGAACAACTGTATGCGAAAACACAGTTACCGACCAATCAGTGACCAGCGGTTGCTCGGACTGACTGGTCAGGCGAGTGACCAGTCATATAAACCTACGGTAAAAATCACTAACTTGTATGGCATTAATCAAGTTTACCCCTCACGACAACAGCACGTTGTTTATGAACGACAGCTAACGTTAAAACTCAAACATTGAGTACAATAGCGTTGAAAACATTGTAGACATTGTTGTCTGAAACGCAATACAAACGCCACAAACGATTGAACAACAAAAACAAGAAATGAGTCCAAAAAACACATCATTAAAAGTGTCGACAAAAACAACACATAAACAAACCGTTTGTCGCGATTATCACCGAAAGTATCAATCGATTCACACGTTTGGACACAAGACTAACGGTCGGAACCGACGGACAAACACTCAAAGACCAGTCATATAGTGATCGCAACGGTTGTCAACGGCCACAGAGACCACTACTGAAGACCCGCATCAATCACTCAGACACACACCCATTGGGCTAAACATATACACGTGTGTTGAACATCACCGGAGCTGTTCCCATACAATCAATAGCAATCAGTAGCGCTAAGAAGTGACCGTCGAAGAGATGCCGCACGTGATTGTGCACACGTCTTATGACAAACTGGCCAAAGGGCCGACATTTGTGGCCAACGACGACACTCTGCTGTTGGACTACTTGGGCGCACAACCGGGCGGTGAGGGCGCCGTCAACGGGTCGTCGGTCGTGAACGAGTCGCCCACAGCTGTGTTGGACAAACTGGAACAGCGCGGCTATCGTGTGGTCGCCATGGCGTCCAACGCTTCGGCCGACTTCGACAGCTATGTCTGGACACTCCATAAGCCCGAAGAGATCGAGCCCTTCCCCTAAGACACCCGAACCCCCGATCTGTACTGACCCGACCCTTCACCTCAATCCCCGATACCTCTCAACACACTTCCGATCTGTCTTTTGATGATTACTTTTGATGTTATTTCTAATGTTTTTCTTTATTTTTTCATAACATTTAATGATATTTCTTGGATATTATTATTATAATT